TCTAAACCAAAAAGAAAGATAAAACAAAAAAACAAAAAAGAATCCCTAGGAAATCTCTGTGCTCAAAATGAAAGCAAATCCCAGCGCAGCGGAACAATTTCATTTAATTAAAAACGTCTAAAGGAAGATTTAGAAATTGGAGAGGTTGGCATCTCATCTGCGCCAATGAACCCACATCATAACTGATGAATCAATCACCCAATCTTTAATGCAATTCATTTTAATACCGCTGTACCGATTCAGACTGTCTCTCTCCTAATTCTGCTGGGCTTTAGCCTTTATTACTTGCAGAAATGTTTTGCTTCCTCGGAAGCAGTTCAGAAGAACCATACCAATCAAAAACTGCAACATTTCCTAAGAATTAGAATGATTTCAAAATGACTTTTTTTTTTTAAATCTCACAGTCAAAATTAATCAACTCGTTTACTGTAATATGAGCTCATTCATAAAAAAAAAAAAAAAACACAAAAACATATGAAACAAGGTTGGGAAAATTATAGGTCAACTACCAGCAAATGGCTATATACACAGATGAAATATTTATATTTGGACATGAGTGTTGCAGGTCTCATTTTAGTTCTGTGAAAAACCAAGCAGAGGGCAGGACAGAGACATGACACCAGTGCTGGTGTCCAAGATGTACAGCAAACAATGCGAGCGGCAGAAATTCCACACCAGTGCTGGTGTCTGAGACCTGCAGATCGTGGAGACAGGGGCAGAGACTCCACACCAGTGCTGGTGTCAGACCTGCAGAGTGCAGAGATGGAGGGACAGGGACTGGACAACAGTGCTGTGGTCTATGAGACCTGTGACATCTGGAGAAGGCTCAAAGCATGGGATTTGTTTTATACTGGAAAACTAAAAGTTTTTATTGCAGTTTGAAGAAAGGCTTGATGAAATGACTTTACATGGCATACCAAGAGGTATGAAAATAGTGAAATCATGTTTAGAGTTAGCCTTTGAAGCTGAAGTTTAGGTATGGCATATTTTACATCGTCAAATTGGTCCAGCTTGGATCAAGTATGTATGTGCCATACCTTGGGGATCACCAAAGAAGTCTGAAATCACTGTAGCAGGGGCCGCTACCATAGTGAGTGCCTCCAGCTTCTGGACGGCAGTGTTAATTTTGACGTCAAATTTCAATTTAGTCATAGTCTTGACTAAAATGTGGTTTTAGTTGTATTTTAGTCGTTTGAATTGTTTTAGTTTTAGTCATATTTTCATTGACTGCACTGAAATCTAATGAATTTAGTTAAATTGTAAAGCATTATTTAAGCATTTCTCTAGAATTACCAAACTCATACACTTCTGGAGTAAAAATCTAACAGGTTATTAATAGAAATAAGGTTTGAACATGCACTACAGCCACAAATTTAGCCATTGTGATATATAACGAGTGTTAATTTTGACGTTGAATTTTCTTCAATGGAATTAACACTACTGGACAGTTGAGTGGCTGCCCTGCTACTTACTGAACACACTGAGTTCACTAAGCACAGGCATCATTCAGCAAGGTCACCGCCTCTTCACCTCAACTAATCAGACAATGCTTTGCATTCATTGAAGGAATACAAAATGTTCTCTAAATGGCACCCATGCCAAGTAAGCAACCTCCACCTCCTGTGTCCACAATACAGCAGAGCAGCCACTTGGCACAGGAGCTAGCAGAGATCACTGCAGTGGCAGTGCCCATTATAGTGATTTCCAGCTTTCACAGGTATGGCACGTACATAGTTACATTGGTCCAGTTTGGACCAGACTAAATACGTAAAAAAATTCCATACCTAAACTTCAGCTATAAGTTTGACTCATTTAAAACTACAGAGTCCCTGTATGACTAAGGCTAGCCATTTACACTTTGACATCTCTTCTCTGTGGGCTGAATGAGAGAAATAGATTCTTCCAACCAGTGTGGATGGAGGAATCTCCCCTGCTGGCTCTTGTCCAGATACTGGATAGAGTACAGTAACGTATAATGTTTCATTTTGATCCTTTGATTTTTCAGAAGTTTGTTCAACACCCACAGCTAGAAATTTCAGCTGTGTGTTGCCAAATTAAGGGCTCAAGTTGACTACTGTCATTTTTCTGCATGTCACGTCTTTATCGCACGTGGGCCAGTAAAATCCCATCGACTTTAATAGAGCAATACAAATGGTGGATCAAAGGCTGTGTTTGACCTGCTTCGTGTTACACGGTTTCTTTGGACAAAGAATATCCTGGTGAGTTGCTATTGAACTGGAGGCAAAGCAGGTCAAACTGAGCCTTTTATTCTTGAACACTTTTCGTTAGAACACATATGTTTGTGTTTGATTTGCAAATGCAGCATTTTGAAATGAATGCATATTTACTGCAATAACAAAAGCATTTTAAGGCAAGCATGTAAAACATGAGTCACTTTCAAATTTAAACAATGCAATAATAAACTTACAAAGTACAAGTAAACATTCATAATACTTTCCTTTTAGAAAAAAAAGAAAGGTCTACTTATATTTTCTAAACATGATGTAGCTGACATGATGTAGCTGGAATCTGGTTGGAGACAACATCAACTTTGTTCTCTTAGTATAATCAGTGTGTAGTTTCTTTATATATAGTCGTCAACTTGCATACCTGTGAACTAAAGAGTGGCAGCATACTAAACCTCCTGCTTTTTCTAAGCTAGAATAAAATCAGCTAAAATATTAACACTACAAATATTAAGATAAATTCAGCTTTATCTAGGGATGTGTGTATGCGGCCAACAGAAAGCACAAGTTTTGCTTTGGCGTACTGCATCAAAGAATGACCAGCAGGAATGTAACACTTTCCAGCTGTTTCCTCATCTGTCAGCATGTACCACTGAGATTACAATAAGTGGCAAGAATGGGATTCATGATGTTGCGTTTAATACAGAAGATGAAGACATACAGTTGCTGTTGGATCTGAACCGACAATTTAAATGATTTACAGCAGGCGTTTCACCCCAAATTGGACAAATCTTCATGGTTACCCTTTTCAGAAAATCTAAGTAAAAGTAATTAAAAAGATTTGCCCAGTTTGGAGTGAAAGGTCCACCTAAGGTCTCGTTTAGACTTGCTTTGCTGTCCGAAACGCAATGCACGTTCGGATCGCTCTTCAAACAGCAATAGGCAGATGGTGAGGAAGCGGCACATCACCTCTTCACCACCTATTTTAACCTCCTAATTAACGGACAACCATGCAGCAAATGCATAAAATGTGTGTCGTTGCATGGGGGGTTGCAATGAGGCCTCATTCAATTGAATAAGTTCTTCGCTGAGCGCGAGAGGGGGTATAACTGTGTACAGCCCCAGCTGCTGCCTCAGCAGCAATAGGGGGAGCGGTTGAGGGGCGTTGCTATTGAGGGGTGGTAAAACCCCAATAGTAAGTGTAAACGAAGCCTTAGGGTTGAAGTTGCACCCCAATAATGGCTGGTAATGGAAGGCCTTGCATATAAAGCAAGCTTTTGTTAGGCTTTCAGCAAGCTTTGAACAGCTTTGTTGAACCCTGGAAGAAAACGTGAAAATGTGAAACAGATAAGCCTTAATAAGAGAAATGAATGTCACTTTGCACAAGTTGCTAGCAGGCTTTCAACAAAAATTGTAAAAGCTGAAGCTTACTGAAGCCTACTAGAAGCTTGTTTAAAGTGGCAGGCAGCACTCCAATCTGTGTTTACCATTCCCACACTGGACCTAAAGTATACTTTAGGCTTCATAAGGCTTGCCAAATACTCAGCAAATGCTTTGCTAAAGCTTGACGTACTTGCTGCTCATGTAAAACCTGTAGTGTTAACCCAAGTTCAGCAAAGATGAAATCATGAAAATACAAACAAGGCTTTTCAGGCCAACATTTTTAACCGGTAGTTTTGTTGCACCCTTTTTAATGCAGGAGGTTTAAAGAGGAATTCCAGGTATGGATGTTTTATAATTATATTGGTCCACCTTGGACCAATGTAAACTCTCTCTCTCTCTCTATATATATATATATATATATATATATATATCTATATAAATCTCTATCCATCTCTATCCACATACATACATATACACATATATATATATATATATATATACACACACACACACACACACACACATATACACATACACACACACACACACACACACACACACACACACACTATACCGAGTTGATGCCTCTGGAAGCTAGAGATGACTGCTTCAGTGATCTCCACTTGTTCTTGGGTCCTATGCTGAGAAGTTGGCCTGATGCATTGTAAACAAAGGAGGCAGACTGCTCAGCACATGTCGAGAATGCTTGCAAGGCAGTCTACGATTTGACGAGGTGGAGGGGGTCAGTAATGTTGTCCAATCAGAGAATGCTTTTTATTCATTCAGAAAATGTAGAGCATTCTCTGAATGGCGTCCATGCTGAGCGGCCAACTTCCTGTGCTCAGAGCACAGTAGGGTGGCCACTCTGCTCCTGGTGATCTCACACTTGCTTCCAGGTCCTGTGCTGTGGTCCAGGTTCCATGGGGCACCTAACAGGTATGGTGTGTACATAATTACATTGGTCCAAGCTGGATGAATGTAACTTTGAAAAAAATATACCATACCCAGAATTCATCTTTAAGGGCTTGCTGACACTAGAAGTTGAGGGGTGGTAAAACCAGTAGTTGGGCTGTCATTTTCTGTCCCCGCCCCCAACTGCTCCCCCTTTAGCTGCAAAGGCAGCAGCCAGTGATGCACACATGCCATGGCAGGAATTATGCCTACCACCAAGTGCAAGGCACCAGATGGCTCTTCAGAGACCAAAGCAAGTGTGAACAAGCCCTAAAGGTTTAAAATGACTGTCAGACTCACTTCAAAACAATTTGGTAGGTTCAAAAAGAAATGTTATTTAAGCAACTTTAAATTAAACTTAACATGTGGCTAAGAGGACAGCAAACGGATACAAAAAGACAAATACATACCACATACACAAACATCAAGCAGCGCACACGGGTTACAACAAAGCACAAAGAGAAGAGCAATAGAAAGTACCACAGTGTACTGTTGAGTGGGTGAGACCTGCAGGAGCGGGGGTGGATAAGAGACGGCTGGGTACTGAACAGGCTGCGAAGAAGATGGCAGAGACCGGATAGGCTGAAGGAGTAACAGTTGAACAAACTCAGTTAATAAGACAGGAAGAACAGAACTGGAAACACAGACATTCACATTTTTTTATTTTTTTTTTTTAGAATTGTGTTCTGCAAATTTGAATTATGTTTTTTTGCTGTATAGTGGAATGTAGGCAAGGCACTTCCAGACCTGGTACAAAAATACTGATGAAGCAGCTAAATATCAAAGTACTAAAACAGTAAACTCATAACCTACTAACTATAACTGGCTATAGATGGTTCAATTTTCAAGCAATCAATTCCCCCATCCCATCCTCGCTAACAGTGTGCATGGTGTAATCTCTGTTGGCTATTGTATTCAGAAAGGAGCAATACCTGCGGATGCTTGAATTTGGTGATGCTGCTGAACAGGGAATGAATCTAATAAGATGCAGTCCCTGTTGCAATAATTTTCCAGTCAGCTCAGCAGATTTTTCAAATGGACTTGTCAAGCCAAGTGGTGGCTTATATACAATAGGTACTTGTATAGCGCCGTCAAATTACGCAGCACTTTACATATATATTGTACATTCACTTCAGTCCCAACCCTCAAGGAACTTGCAATCTAAGGTCCCTAAAATTCATACATACTAGGGCCAATTTAGACAGGATCCAATTAACCTACTAGCATGTCTTTAGAGTGTGGGAGGAAACCGGAGTACCCGAAGAAATCCCACGCAGACACAGGGACAACCCAACCACTTAGCCGCTGTGCTGGCTTGCAGGGTAACCTACAATTTTTCAACAGGTATTGAACAAACTTCAAACCATCTAAGAAGGCTTTGACAGGGCTTGAAACCTTGACAATATCCAATTGTTACTAGGAGTTAAATTTACAAAGTGGCTGCAAATCATGAATGATGGTTGAGCTCGCCAAATGCCTGCTTTCAAGAGCGATAACAATCCATCACCATAGCTTACATCCGTACATTTAGCAATGACTGATCTGAAAAGCAGAGCATGCAAACCAATAAACCCACAAATATAAAAAAAAAAAAAACAAAAACACCCTTTGCGCAATATTGCTGCCATGACAAAGTCTCTCTAAACTTAATCTCATCTTTGCTGCGCTCCCACAAGAATAATGCCCCGTAAACACTATAAGAAAGTCATATGAAAATTTTCGTACGAAGACCGATCGTCCGATAATCGGATCGTTCGTACTCAGCTTTCGAGAGCCGATCACAACAATTCGTACGACAATATCCGAAGGAACAAGGGCAAAAAATTTTCTCGTACGATACCAGATCGGACGCTTTTTATTTAATCAGTACAGTAGTCGTCTGAAAATACAATACAAAGCAATACATGACATCACTTTCGAAATTCTTTTCTTCGTAGGAGAATTTTCGTATCTTCAGTAACCTTTTCACTTTTGAAAAAAAAACGGCCGATCGTTCGTCCGATATTCTCATCGTGTGTACAGGGCATTAAAATCAGCCTCAACATTGTGACCACTGACAAGCAAAGTGAACAACATTGATTATCTCATTACAAAGGCACCTGAAAGTGTACGGGATATAACAGGCAGCAAATGAACATGCTGCCCCTAAAGTTGATGCGTTGAAAGCAGAAAAAAAAAAAAATAGGCAAGTGTAATGATTTGAGCAACTGACAATGGCCAAATTGTAATGGCTAGACCAGTCTCTCAACCAGGATACCTTCAAGTTTCTTTAGGGGTACCTTGGCAAAATGCCTAAAAAATGTCCACAAATTGCATACGAGCCAATGGGTGGATCAAGCCTGCCTTTTATTTACAGAAAGCAACAGATCTTAATTGTCCCACCATTTCAACCTTCCAGCCGCCTGCACAACATCCTTATTTGCCCTTTCCCTGCCCCTTTCTGGCACCACTGGGGCCACATTACCTGAGTGAGGGGAGAAAACTAAGGGAGAAGTAAAACACTGGAATACTAGTCAGTACCCGTGTATTTGATTTGTAAGAATAAATCAGCTCTAATGTTGGGTATCCTATGTGTGGATGCTGCAGCACTAAATACACCTATTTATTTAGTTTTTTACATTTTAGAATGGGGTGCCTCAAAATTGTACAGAGAAACACTGAGCTAGACCACTAGAGAATCTCCAAAACTGCAGCTCTTGTGGGATGTTCCCGATCTGCAGTGGTCAGGACTGACCAAATGTGGTCCAAGGAAGGAAAACCAGGTCATGGGTGGCCAAGGCTTATTGATGCAATTGGAGAGGGAAGACTGGCCCATGTAGTCTGATTCACTAGAAGAGCTACTTTTGCTGAAAATGTTAATGCTGGTTCTGATAGAAAAGGTGTCAGAACACAGTGCATCAAGGCTTGTCTCTAAATAAAACGTAAAATGAGTTTCTTGGACATTCAAAAATAGCATCTCAGTGACACACACTATATGGCCAAAGTATGAGGACAACACACAAATGATTGAGTTCAGGCAATCCTATTGAAGGGTACTGTTAATACTACAGCATACAAATGCATTGTAGACAACTGTACACTTGTAACCACAAGTGTAACAGTTTGGGAAAGGACCATTTTCCACTCCAGCATTGTTGGGCTCCATAAAGACATAGTTTGATCAGTTTGGTGTGGAAAAACTAGAGTGGCCTGCATGGAATCTTGAGGTTAACCCTACTGAAAACCTATGATATAAATTGGAAGGCTGACTGTGAGCCAGATCTTCTCATCCAACATTAGCACCGGAGCTCACAAATGCTCTTTTAGATGAAACGACACAAATTCCCTATGGTTTTTCTCTGGGTACTCTGGTTTCCTATTACACTCCTAAGATATGCTGGTAGGTTAATTGGCTCTTGTCCAAACTGGTCCTACATTATATGTGCATGTGAGATAGAGACCTTAGATTGTACACTCCTTGAAGGTAAGGACTCATGTGAATGACTAGAACAGGCTTTCTCAACCTTTTCAGCACAGAGTAAACATTGAAATAACTTTCTAGTCTAAGGGGACCCTGCTAAAAAAAATTACTATATCTAAAACTCATGATGCACTAGTCTGATGGTCAGTGGGAAGAATGCTCCTTACACTTGTGGCCATTGGGAAGAATTACCCCCTTACAGATAGCTAAAAATATCAATGGTGTCCTTGGGATTCTAAAAGGCAAAAATTGCTCATTGCTCAAGAAACCCCTACAAACTTCTGAAGGAACCCTGAGAACGCTGGAACGGAATATAAATTGCTGCGTAAATTGATGGCATGATATAAATTCCTGTAATAAACACAAATTCCCACATAAAAGCAAAAATCCTGTGGAAAATCTGTTCTAGTGATTGGCAAAATCCATATTAATGGCCATGGTTTTAGAAAGTGATATCCAACAATCTCTCATAGGTGTGATGGTCAGCAGTCCACACATCTTTGGCCATACAGTGCAGTTTATACAGGGAAAGTATACGGTCTATGAAATTCTGGTATGTAGTTCCATTATGTTAAAAACAAATACTACTTTCTCTAATATCTTTATCAATGTGATGTTACACAAAGGCACACTTTCAGTTGTTACATAATGCCTCTAAATCAGCCTTTTGTAACCCTTCCAATACAGAGGAACCCTTGAAATAACTTTCTGGTCTCAGGGAACCCCTGCTAAAAATGACCATCTGCAACTCATGATACATTAGTGATGGTCAGTGGGAAGAATGCTCCTTACACTTGTGGCCATTAGGAAGAATCCCCCCCCCCCCCCCCCGCTCCTTTACAGATGGCTGAAAAGATCAATGGTGTCACTAGGAACTTATCTGAGAGGCAGCAATTGCTCAAGGAACCCCTAGCAACCTCTGGAAGAACCCTGGTTGAGAATTCCTGAAACAAACTGAGAATTTTCCATATATTTCTCAAACATGTTTTGGCCATTTTACCATACTCTAACAGGTGTTAACAGATTTACTCGTCCTTTAGCTTCAAGTGCTTAGATGGTAAGAATGGCTGTGCAAAGCAAAGATAATAAACATTTCTTGCTATAAACAGAATACTCTAATTTAAAATGATGCTTTAAACTTCAGCCAGACTAACAGAAGTCTAATGACAGCTGACTGTCCAGGAACACAGCTCAGAATTCTAAACTGGCCTCGTGTCTGCAGCTGAAGCCATCCGACAACACAGATCAGTTGTCAAGTCACACTTCCCAGCTGCAATCCGAGACACTAACTCACCAAACTTTTTTGACAGCTGTTTAAAAACTGCAATACGACTACCCTGAGTTCCAGCAGACGCCCCCGGGCGAGGATTTAATTCCTCCACCAGAGGGTGGTCATTCGATAGCTCGCTTATCACACAGCCAGCGCCAATTCATTTTTTGCTTACTCACTTCCCTACCCGCCGCTGGAATGGCACGCAGTGGATTCAGACAAGAGGAAAACATTGCCTGCGTTGTGGTTTGCACTGCAGTATTCAGTGTCCTAACAGTCCGCAGAGAGCAGCATAACCAAGAAGACACTGAGCAAGGAGCACTTGAAGACTCATAGGGCAAAGTCACCCAGAAACATAAAATATTCTTTGTAGAAAGGAGTGATTTGGGCTCGGATATTTGTTTTTGCAAAAGATTTTTAGTAAGCAAATTGAAGAAAAAAAAAAAAATAAAATAAAAAATTCCTGCAGATCGAGACTTTATCCACTTTAAGATAAATGAGGTTTCTGGAATCTGAATAAATAATCAAATCTTACCTGGCACCATTGAATGTATATTTTTTACATGCATGACTAAAACTATTACAGTTTACAAAATGGTGTGATACATTTCACAAAAAGGAACACAAAAATAAAAAATATCAGCATCAAGACATTTTGTTGAAATAAAACTTCAGTTTGACATATATTACCCTTACAATTTTTTATAGACCTGCAAAAGGAAAAATTGAAAATGGGGAAAAGGGATAAAGAAATGGACATGATAAAATGCATGTAAAGCACGTTTTTTTTTTAATTTTGGCTACAGTAGGGAAGGGTTAGATCATTTGGAGCAAAAGACATCCTGGTGTCAGTGGGAATAAACAATATCCCATCACTGGTATTATGGGGAGTAAAAGTGTCCCATCATTGGTGTCAGTGGGAGAAATAGTGCCCCAATTTCAGGGTCAGGAACTATGCCCCATTGTTGCTGACAGGGGGGGGGGGGGGGGAATAAAGTCCCAAGGACCAGATAAAAGCTAGCAAAGGGCTGCATCCGGCCCCCAGGCCATAGTTTGGAGACCACAGGTCTAAGCGATCACTGACACCGAGAAAGAAAGTAAAGGAAGATCATACATTTAAGGTCCCTTGCACACAGAATAATCTAGCTGCAGTGTGCCGGTAGGGACAGGTGAAGTATCCAGTCTTGCTGCCTTCAGGTTTGTAGCAGACTGCGGCTGAATAGGGTTGAGCAATGTATCAAGTGGTACCCATGTTTGGGGGCCCTAAGTGTTTCAGAACAAAATGTCCAGAATGCAGGTCTTTGTCCCTGAAAGCATAGGGCATTAAACACAGGTACTACTCAGCCTGCCATAGATTTTGATGACGGGGCTGCAGCTCTCCCTCCTGGATACCCTAAAAATGCTGTGAGGGATGTACTGCTCCTAAATGGCTCCATGTGCAAGGGGTCTAAGAATTTTCATAAGAAAGAGTGGCGAGTGGAAATTCTCCAATGGGGACAAATTTCTTGTGACACCCGAGATGGAAATTCCCCTCACTTTTAACTATTGAAATGCTCCCATGGGACTTTTTTTTTTTTTTTTTTTTTACAGCAATAGAAAGCAATTTGTATAAAATATTACATATTTACTTTGAACATTTTTAAAAAATATATTCACATAAAAAAAGCTGTTCTGGCATGATGGTACATCCTCCAAACAAGTGGCACTAAATCATCACAATACCCATATACTTATGGGTATTGTGATGATTTAGTGCCACCTATTTGGAGGATGTACCATTATATAATACAATACAAACAGTTTTCTATTGCTGTAAAAAGCCCCAGGGGAGAAATTCAATAGTTTGTAGATGTATTTGGGATGTTGGCAGCACACAACTCTGAACAGGACTATCTATTGATCGGTTTTCCCCTTACTGGGAAGAACTGCTCTAACTTCCAGTTGCATCTCCAAGACAGGCAGTAAAAGGAAATCTCTTCAGAGAGTCATAGCTGGCAATAAATACCTAGTGGGATTTAACTTTTATCTACTCCATCTACAATTAAAAAAGAAAAAGATAAAAGTTTTGACTTTACATACACCTTAACCTCACAAAGAAAAACATGGCGTGGTGCTATAAACAGAAGGCAGTCTTCTAGCACACATAGAGGGACATTTATGAAGCAAATTAGAGACAAATGTAGATGCGACTCAAGTTCCCTGTCAGCCGATTCTATGCAATGTTTTTTGTTCATTTGTGACCCCTACACCTATAATTCTGGACAGTCAGATAAGTCAGGTTTGCACAGGTCTGCAACAGATTTACCACTGGAAAGGAGACCGATTTTCACTCACAACAGAGGCCCAATTAGGAAGTGGTCAGGGAAAGGATTTATTCTGTCACAGAGCTATTTGAGAGCAGCTGAGGGAGGAATTAATGGACGACAATGCCTAATGATCATAAATCTTTCTCAAATTGTCTCACTGTTCCTGTTTAGCATTTCCCAGCTGTTTGACAAAATTGATAAAATGTCCTGCAGAGTATAAACACACAATTATTTAACAACACATTAGCCACCATTTAGTCTGTACATTGGACAACTCAATAAAAGTGAACATTGGCTTTTAAAATAGTGAGCAGCTTCTCTTTTGTCCTAAGGACTGGAGTGTGCCATACACGGAGCGGCCACTGACTGCCGGAAGCTTGCACCAGCTGTCGGAGGAATAGAGGGGGAAGTATGCCTGCAGTGGAATATGTTGTTAGTAAGTTAATCAATGAGACTTGGTCATACATAAAAACCTTAACAGATTGGCACTGCTCCAAGCCTGCAGTATCGATCTCCCAGGTTTCCACTCTGTATTCAGGTGCTGGCAGAGACAGCACATCTCACTCCAAGCTATGAAATAGCACACTATATTCAACTCCATTGTAAGCCATCCCAACCGGGAGAAGACCGTGATTATTGCTAGCGGCCTTTAACAGCTATTAGCAATAATTGCATATACAATCCAGCAGGTTGGTTGTACCAAAGCTGAACAAAACGATTGATCGACTTGGGTACATTCAGCCTGCCCATAAATGGTTTGAATCTTAGCTGGTTCCTGCTGAACCAGACAAGATTCAAAATGTCTATGGCTAGCTTAAAGAAATTGAAAGACAGGCTTCAGTTCAAATCCCCACCCATTCGTAACACCCCTCTGACATGTTTACCCACATAGGGCTTAATCATAATCGGTACTTGTATTCAGTATGCCTGTTATAATATATAAAGTGTGGGGACCTAGAGATATTTGCAAGAACCTGCCCCTATGCATGAAACCCATGCCACTGCGATTAAAAACATGATCCCAACACTTCCTGGTAGTGTGAAAGGTTGTCCAACCCATCCTGCATCATGCCCATACCTACTGGCCAGTGTGGTAACCCATCACACTGAAGGGTGTGGGCAAGCTTAAACACTATTGCTGGCAAGAACTGTCCATGAATCATCATCAGTGGTGGGAAATATGGGTCACTGGACCATAGGTTCCTGGACTTTAGAATTTTTTTTAATCAGTTGAAATGCACAGAAATAAATCCAGTAGTACAGTCTAGTTTTCTGCCTCTTGGCTATACAAAATCTATTGCTATTTGACCAAGTAACATTCTAGTGAAAGACATTGCTTTTTCAGTCTGGCTCAGTACATACCTGTGGTAGTATGTGGTTTGGAGCTTGCTGCGGAGGGGGGGGGTGGTGGGGGTGGAGGGGGTGGTGGTGGTGGAGGAGGAGGGGGAACGGGCGCAGGCACTTGGGTCCTAACCGGCTGCTGAGTTACTGGAGGATTGTACACAACTGGAGTGCCGTCTGGGTTTAAAAATGGCTGACCTATGAAAATAGCAAGTCAAACAAGAGACTTAATTTCTCAGTTCAAGTTGGGAACATATCACAAGATTTAAGCAGAACCATCATCAATTCACTAGAACGACAGAGCTTAAAAATACTTTTCTCCTAGAGAAACTGCTGCACCAGGATCCCTCTACTGCTGATCATGTAACAAAAAAACCAAAGCAGGTGATCTCTGCTGAGATGGATTAGCATTTATAGGGGCTGATACTACTCTTCAGTAGAGATCATGTTTGTAAAGACCCAGGCTGTTTGTCATGTAATCAGCACTGGAGAGAACCTGAGTGGTGCTTTCTCCAGGAAAAGGTACAAATTATTCCGACCTTATTTTACCTCCTATAAATCCAACACAGCAGGACTGTTCACACAACTTTAGGTTACCATTTGTGTACAGATCCACTTTAAGGGTCTGTGCCTTCAAGCTCTTTTTTTTTTGCATCAGAAGGGTTTTGCATTCCCATACATGTTTAAAACCCACTTAAAAAGGAGGTCAATTGCACCTGTCAATGAATTCTGAATGATCTCCAAAGCATCTCTAACTAATGCCATTAACACAAGCCCATCATGGTGCACACTCTTATAAACCTTAGCATATAACAAAGCAAACTAAACAAATAAAAAATAAAAGTATTATCTTATCAAACCGGTGTTCTGGGATATTAAAAGATATCTAAAGCCAAATCTTGATTTTTTTTTTTTTTTTAAATTACTTGCTTCCTTGGAAACACAACAAAAACTGGTGGAAATGTTCTAACAGGGCAGTTACTAGAACAAGTGTTCTCATAAAAAGACTAAAGCTAGCCATTCATGGGTTAGGTTTTTCGTTAAACCAGCAGGTTGTCGATGGGGGAAATCGGGTCAGTTTTTCTTTTTCTCATTCACTTTCGATGTGGAAGGGGAAATCCTCCCAGCTGTGTCAATGTATTCTGACAGTGAGGAGACTCCCCCCAACAACAAAATGCACAGATCAACGCTGCAGCCTGCAGAGCTCATCAAGTGGAAGTATACAAACAAGGAGGCTGAACAGAAGTCAAATTGATAGATCAATTTTTGCTAAACCACAGTGGCCACACATGAATCGAAATTCAGTCAGTCCCTGCTGAACCGGCTGAATTTGGATTCATGTATGGCCAACTAAATTCTCTATTCATGTTCAGGAGGTAAGATTCCGGACTTTCCAGAGAACAGATCTAGATCACACAGACTTTATAAAATACTGGACTGTTGGGATTTATCTTGACAGCTGCGGTGTTCCATTTGTAGGTACTATCAAATAACCTTCCACAATAAAAGAAAAAATAAATAGTGCGAAACAGCACATGCCAAAAAAATTAACTTTAAGGTGTCCACAGAGAAATGTCTGGATTGAGAAGCTTGGTGGAATAGAATGGCGCCAGGGAAATCGGCAACCTGCAAATCATTTGAAAAATGCATCCCAGTACTGGACTTTTAGGCCCCATTCACACCACTCCCATAGGTAATTGAAAATGGCCCCATTAGCAAGTGTGAATGGGACCTTACCTCACTGCAGTAAGTCATCTGGAGTGCCAAGACTGAATTTCACCTGGCTCTAGCCACTACATACGGGTACTGCATCTATACAACACAGCTGACTCGGAACGCTGTCCAAACTACTAGGCCGTTTTCAGACAGGCGGTAAAGCGTACTGCCCCCTGGGGTGGTGTAGCAGTGGCCCACAGGCATTCAGGAGGTGTTACTGCGGTGATGCCCTTAAAACTGTGCAGCCCGCATTAACAATGCTGCAGAATCTGGGGCAGCTGTGCTTTGTAGCCAAGCAGCTTTACTTCAGCTTCTTCAATTAAGCTTTGACAAAAATACACGGAAGCGGTTTCTATGCAGAGCTGTACTAGATTTTGCAATCTCCAGTTTTAGTAAATCAACCCCAGTGTAACCATTTGTATCAGCTTGCAGCTTGAGTCAGATTACTTTACAAACCATTTCCTTCAACTCTGTTTCAGTAAATGTTGATTATGCCCCATCATATTCCACCCAGCATCTCAACCCAGACATTACTCTGTGGGCACCTTAATAATCTAGGACCAGGTTTACTTTCACTTTAAAGAAATAGTCTGTCTGGGTCAGCTTGGCTGGAACAATTTTTTTCTTCAATAGTTATTCTGCTGCTGTCCATGTTGTATCCTACTGTAGTTGCATCAGCATACAGTGCTATATTTTGGCAGCATCAAAAGCAACTTCCCATATCAAGTTGAGCTACGGATTACCAGCCATTGAGAGGAAGCTTTGTATTTTTTTTTATCAATGAACAAGGCTTTCTCCAACAGGCTGAGGTGGATTTTTTGACACAATCTACCCACTGCTCCATTTTGGACAATCCAAGGGTTTGTTCCTGCAGCAGACAGAAATTACCTGTGATGCTGCGGAAGTTAGCATACTTTGGAAAGTGCACAGACTATTTGTCTTTAGTAAATCAACCCCAAAGTGCAGTTGCTCAAGAGCTTAATAAATGAGCAGAAGCTCTGCTCACTTTCATCATCCAATCATGTGAAAGCAAAAATGCATTTTTTTATTTTTGTCCTTGCATGTGATTGGGTATTTTTTGCAAAGTGAAGTTTTCCCTCATTTACTAAGCTCTGAAGCAACTGCACTTTGTAAAGTGCACAAGCCATTTACCTTTAGTAAATCAACCCCTGTATGTGACTAATGCTACTACAGTATGATACAGAGCCGAGAGCAGCAGAATAACTTCGCTATGGAAATAGTTAATTTGAGCAAGTTTGGACAAAAACTATTCAGAGGTCCAGGAAGCCTAGAATTTGGCTTTAATGTTACATTATTTGTCAAGCACTGACCCTCACTGAAAATGTATTTTGGGTTTTCTATCTCCTTCAGTCCCAGTGACAGTATTCACCAATACAAATAAATACAGACATTAATAAAATGTGACTTTAGCGGCTTTAACCTGCTTGTTTGGTAACCAAAGAGCATTCCATGCAATGTGGTCAACCCTAGCCAGATTCAAATTTTAGACCAGAGAACACATCGCCCTCTCCATTAAGAAAAGCAGTTCTGTAGTCCAGCAAGGAGAACTACACAGGCCTGACAAAGCTGGTTGAAATTTCAATGCAAAGGCAATGTTGTTAACTCACTCTGATTTCTGACAGATCAATGGATATTTTTCTATACTTGCATTTTTTTTTTTAAAAGGGATGAAACACACTTGTTTTGCAGAGATTAACTGCATATATTTTTACATTGCAAGGATATATACTTGAAAGAAGAATTCCAGGTATGGCTTTTTTTTTTGGACCAATATAACTATGTATATACCATACCTGTGGGATCACTCTGGAAGCTGAAAATCATTTTAATAAAGTACCGTTCTTCCAATAAACTCCACTAGCTTCTGGTTCCAGTGATGATGGAACACAGAAGCTCAGTTGCTTGGCACAACTGCCATTCAGAGAATGCTTTGCATTTTTTTTTTTTCAATGAATGCAAAGTATTCTCTGATTGGACGAGGCGGGGCAGTGACATCACACTCACTTCTCAAGTGATTCCACAGATATGGTAATGTGTATAGTTACATTGGTCCAAGCAGGATCAATGTAATTAAGTAAAAATGCCATACTTTTAATTCTTCAAGTTGTACAGATGCTGTAAAAATTAAAGCCACCCAACTGCTTTCCTTCAGCTTTGACTGTGCTTAACAAGCAACTAATACCTGATGAAAACCAGCTTGGATCAACACACAGACATATGGAAAAGGATAAATTGTAAAAGTCATCAGTGGTAAATACATCCAATTATTTAATTTAAATAAGTGACATGGACTTACGTATGCAAATACAATACCTATTCATAAACAAAACATATTTGCAAAGATATACAACTGGAACAAGGACAATAGGAAGTACACAAATTTCTGTTGCCACCTTAAACTTGAACAGACAGGGTAAGTCTAGTGATTCAAACGGAGAACGAGAGTAATCAATATTGTTCACAACATTTTGTCTGCACAAAAAGACCTGGTGAAGACAAGAGTCTATTGACCGACAATCTACTGGGATTTTCTCGCATATGAATATTTTCTCATTTTCGGACCATTTTCTGTAAACCGTAGAGATGGTTGTGTGTGAAAATACCAGTAGATCAGCAGTTTTTTAAATACTCAGACCAGCCCATCTGGCACCAACAACCATGCCACGTTCAAAGTCACTTAAATCCCCTTTCTTCCCCATTCAGATGCTCAGGTTGAACTTCAGCAAGTCGTCTTTTACCACATCTAGATGACTAAATGCATTGAGTTGCTGCCATGTGATTTGTCCGATTAGCAATTTGTGTTACCAAGCAATTGAACAGGTGTACCCAATTAAGTGGCTGGTGAGTGTATATGTTGGTGATATATGCGTCATAATCTTGTGGAAAGCTTTCCCAGAAGTGTATAAGAATTTGTTCCCATTCAGCCAAAAGAGCATTTGTGAAGACAATGATTTGTGTCAGATGAGAAGACTCGGCTCACAATTGGCCGCCTTATTCATTACAAAGGAGTTCAGTTGTATTGCGGTCAAGGTTTGTTGCAGCCCCCCCGAGTTCCTTCATACAATGCTCATTAAGCCACATCTTTAAAGATCTGCCTTTTGCACAAGGCACAATCATGCTGCACAGAATAGGACCTTCTTCAAAATATTCCCAAAAGGTTGGAAGCTCACATTTATGTAAAATGTCTTTGTATGATGTAGCATCAAAAGTACTCTTCACTAGAAACACCAGAACTCAAAATCATATGGAGGGGTGTCCACATACCTTGTATGTACTTTGTTTGACAAGCACTTGAGACTAACTGGTCCAGTGAGTCTAGGTCAAAGAACACGGACCCCCTTCTTACAAATTAATGAGACCCGGTTAGCACAAAGTGACAGTCTATTTGCCATGGGGCTCCCAAACCTCCTGATACAGTGCTGCCCTTTCATGCCTTCCTTCATCACAACCAGCACTAAAATTCCCAGTTTTGCTTGGGTCACACACTGGGGGTGCGGTTATGTCATTCCTATGATGTGGCAATGTTCAGGCCTCGTGATGGGGCCCCACTGACCCCAGCATTGTCACATTGGAGAAGTTCACACACTCCCCTCATACGCAAAATGCTAGGTATTGTTGCTGGCTGTGATGGAGGAAGAAGTGGCAGGGCATTGCTGGCAAGGTCAGCATCAATGGTATGGGCGGGGGGGCATGATTTTGCAAAGACACAGTCACTTTGGCCTGAATAGACTATTTTGGGCAAAGATACAAAACATAAATTAAAGTGTTACTAATCCCACAGCAGTAAAATCAGTTTTTATATGCGGTAAAGCATGCATGTTATACTCACTGTGGGACTTAAGGGGTTAATCCTCCACATTGTGTAAAAATGATGTTTGTGCCTGACTTCTCTGATCCTCCCCTTCTTCCACAGTCCCTAATCTACCTACTGACAGCACAGGGCCCTGGAGGCTAGCTGCACATGCTCAGTTTGGTGTGTATTGCTACATAGTTTATTCTTTTCTTGGAACAGTGCATGTGATCAGCACAGGGCCAATTAGCACAGTCCAGAGAGAGGGTCAAGGGTGCTTCAGTCTAATGGGAAAATCAGGGCAGAATGAAAATTCCTCCCACAAGCTGTAACCAGCGCTCTGCTGGACACAGAGAAGTCACAAGACTGCTTCAGATGAGAAAAGGTATTTAGCCATTTATATTTACTTAAATAATTGCATTTCCATGTTCTGTGTACTGTGAGAGACCAGATATAGTGAATGCAGGGCCCTGGGTTTAACTTGCAAAGGAATACATACTCACATTCACCTGGTGCCTGAAACCGGTATTTGTACCAAGCTCACACATGCCAACCCAATGTCAGTGCGAGTACCTTATCTCCACAACAGGCAGAAGGAATATGGGAGAATAGACAGGCTTACAGTACAGGAGAGCTAAAAGTGGACACCACCAGTGCAGCAAAGTTCACTGGTAGTCCAAAAGGACAAGCAGGGCAGGGACACAAGGTCTGCGAAATTGTAGTTTTTGTTAGCAGCATAATCCTACAACAATGGTGCAAGTCAACATGGTGCTTGAACGATTTCCTGTTGCTGCCCTAAGGATACCCAGATAATGTTGGCACCCCCATCATGCCCCATGCATGTGGTCTCAATTCCTAAATGTATCGATTCTATGCTAGGAAAAACCCCTTTGAGAGACTTTTGATCCTGAGGGTATTGGTGGTCAAATATCTGCAAACAAACTGTACAGCAAAAACACGACAGAGTGACATTAAATTGAACATTCCTCTTACAAAAGACAAAACATTTGTTGCTTTAAACACTATATACACGCACAAGAAAAAAAAGATAACAATGCCCTGGCAATAAAGAAGGGTTTATGAGAGAGTACAAACCTGTTTGTGGGTTGATCAAAATACTGCCAGGAGGAATGCCTGCAGCTTCCAAGGGAAGCAAAAAGAAGCTAGTGCTAGATGGAGCCACTTGCCCACTTATGCCACCATCAAAGGAAAGAGAATTACTAGTGCTGACAGTCGGATAGACGGCAGCTGTGCCATGTGAGGGTTGGTTTATGGCGGTTACTGGAAGAGGCTGCTGGGTGTGGGACAAAGAACCAGTGGATGACCCTACACTACTAGAAGACTCTGAACCTACAGGAAAGGAGCAATGAAAAAAATATATAGGTATTTGTTTTTCACCTACAGATTAAAACAACATGCACAAAGACATAGGCATAGAAACTGATCCCCTTGACAGTTAGGAGGGCTGCTTAACCCCCTGACAACCAAGGAGTACAAAACATGCAGAGTGTTAGAAGAGCACCCATCGCCTGCAGAGCCTGACGGCAACCATTTTGTCTATAAGGCTTTAGGTTTTCAGTGCGTGCCAAAGTATTGTGATGCAAAGTCATGTTTAATATTCAGAATGAGTTCAGATGTGATGCAGTTATGTGGCCCTAAACAATACACATGGTACAAAATGGTCCTGTCGTGCTTCTCACCAGCTGCATTCCAATAAAGGACACAAATACAAGAACACTTGACTGAAAATGGAGTGCCTTTTCGGCACAAAGTTTGGGATGTATAAACTTTATTTGAGAGGGGACTCCCATCCCTTCAAGACTCTTCTTTGCAGCAACATGGACTGCTATCCCACACTCCTGCTAGTCACTGGTTTTCCCAAGACCAGCAGTTCCAATTTTCCTCTGTTGATTAAATCTGTTACTGTAATGCAAACTTAAAAGCCCAATCCTAGGTTGGGCAGATTTCCAAACCTCAATGGTTTAATTGTTTTGTTACATAGTTAGTCTGGTTGAAAAAAAAAAAAAAAAAAAAAAGTCCATCCAGTTCGACCAATTTTTTTTCTATACTTACCAGTCACTTGTCCCCAGGACCTCCTCCTTCTAGGGCAGTGGTGGATGGCTCTCAGCAATGCAGGGAACGGTGTCATATAATGAGAAAAACACTGTTCTCTGCATGATTTGTCTATGATGGTGTGCTACCCTGAGGCTTGACTTTGTGGGTTAAATGTACCTGGACATTGTCCAACCTGAAACATGAGCATCAATCAGGACTAAAAGAGGAGCGGGAGCATGGAACGAGCAAGTACTATTTTGGAGGGGAGAATTTAGAAAAAATAAACAGTAGAATTGGGTTTAACTCCTCATGCAACAATTTTAATTGGTCAGACTCCGGCTAAGTACTTTAAATAGCACACTGATGGAAAGTGGTTTATGCTCGGCCAGAATTTTTTTTTTTTTTTCTTTATTACATTAAAGGGTGCCAATCCAATAACATTTCCTATCTTGTTATTGGGAATCCCCTTTAAAAAGGAAACCTGTACGGAGAAAAATATGAAAACTAATCATCTGACCGTTTTTTTCTATGTACATTGTACAGTGCATGGCTGTGCAGTGGACAATCTGACTCCTTACAGAGGTCAGATATCGTGCTGGATGACGTGAATGATGCAACTCCTGAGGCAGCCCGATGACTGAAGAGGATGGCGGGGACCCGGGAAACAGCACCAGAGGATATGGTGATCAGTCAGAGCCAGAGGAGGGCACAGTCATACGTGAGTGTGCCATAACATGCAAGTAGGCTGCAATTGCTTTAAAAAAATGTCAAGAACTCACCTTTCACTTTCAACTCCAGTAAATCGGCTTCCTTAAAGCAGAAGTAAATAGGCAGATACTATACCTTTAGCATAATTAATGAAGGTAAAAAACACATTCTGTGTGCTGCTCCAAACCCTGAACAATGCTCACCTAAGCCCCCTTGTGATCCTGTGATGTGCATGGGAGCCTTGGGTGTCCTGGGTCTCTCTCTCTCATTGGCTTAGACACAGCAGTGGGAGTCACTGGCTCCCACTGCTGTCAATCACAGCCAGTGAGCCAATGAGTAAAGAATGGGGGGCGTGGCTGAGTTGTGGCTCTTATAGATGCATAGAGTGGGGCTCGGAAGTTAGCACGCAATAGTGCCCCCATAGCAAGTGGCTTGCTATTGGGGTCACTGTTCAAGGGGGAGGAGCTAGAATCAGGGCTAATCTGTGCAAAAAAAAAAATTGAAAAAAAATAATACGAACCTTAAATATCACTTCCATGACTGTCAGGGAACTAACATTTCAAGCAGGTGAGGTCAGCAGCATCCTAGATGTCTTAGTCAACACAGGTTTCACTTACAACAAAGTGCAATAATGTGGCATTACCCATAACAGCGGATCAAAAAAGCACTCCAGTGAATGGTCTTATCTGTGACTGATCATTGATGTTTACAGAAATTCACAGTACTCCACACATAGTTGTATCTAGTTCTGACAAAAAAAGTAATTTTGGTTTTGGGAGACCATCAAGGAGAGGACAGTCAACAAATTTCTGATTGGCCTCGAGAGATTTTCCTGCAATGGTTTATTTCTCTGATACCTCTCTCAAAAGCTATTAAAACAAAAATGTACCATTTTCCTGCAGCTGGATTATTTTATGTATGGAGAGCTATTTCTTGGAGAGTGAGATCATGTGAATATACTTATTGGGGTCCCCTTCACCACCGCATTACCAGAGATTTAACAATTCGAGTGGTTAAAAGCAACACTTGGCAGCAACTGGGTAGAAGGCAAAATGATACATCTGGGTAGAAACTTTCATCAGGTAAAGCTAAATGGGACTCAATTTAGAAGCTAGAGAGAGGAGTACAAAATGGAGGCCTATACAGGGTGCAGGCAGATGGATAACCTTAAAAAAAAGCAGAGAAAGCGGCACTGTAGAAGCAGGCGCATCATGCAACGTTAAGCAGTCACAGCACGGCAAGCCAAAAAAAAGCGCAAACAGGCAACACATTGCTAAACGAACGTAATAACCCTGCAGACCTGGAATAATATTCCAGGTACAGATCTGCATGAGAACTGAGGGCAACTACTGCCTATCTGCACCTATGTAAACCCTATGTAAGCTTTTAGCTTAGCCAGCTTGTATAATAACATAGGTGGCAAACTAGGCCTGCAAAAAGAGCCCCGCCTTGAACCTTGGCATCTACAAATGGCAGAGACCTATAATCTCATGCATACCATCATGCAGCTTCGACAAGCACCAATAGGATGTTAGTTGTTTGTTTGCAGGTGTTTGATATGACAGAAGTTTTTTTTTTTTTTTAGAAAACTATTCTAGGATAGATATGCAAAGGCCTTCAATACACCAAACCGGTAAAGGAATGATAATAAACAATAGTAACAAAGCAGTATGGGGAGCAATAGCACCACAAATCATCTATTATACACATAACCCTCTTCTATCAAAATGGCTGTGGGCAATGATCACTATCAATTTCTGTGCTTTGCATTGCTAAATAGGTTAAGCAGAGTGGTATTACTGCTCTAAATAATGTATTCTGTACTGAAGTGAATATCATCAATAGCACACCAATGTTCTCAAGGTCAAGAAATTATTCAGCTTCTCCCAATACTTATTTTTAAAGTGCATCTGTGCCCAGACTATAGATATTAAAGTATTTATATATTCTTACTGAGCAATAAAAAAAAAAAAAAAAAAAAAAAGGCTTTAAAACAAGCCATCACTGACCTTTATGGCTGCAGGCACTGTGGAGTAATTTATAACCAAACATCACAATTGAGACTAATGCTAAACAGGTGCATTAGGGGCACACAACATAAATTTCTGTCTTAAAAAGACCGAATAGCTGTGCGTGGCTATATGCCGGTACTCGCGTACAGCAGCATATAGTAAATGGACAAATACAAAGAATAGCCTTGTAGTGCCCCCTTCCCTACTGCAATGGTTGAATGCTCATTAAGGCTAGAAGTAGAGGAATAATATGCAATACATATTAAACATATTCTTTGCTTGGCACTCTCCTCTTCTCTCAGATGCTCCAGGTTGTGGGTGGGCCATCACCTTTCCTATGTACAATGCAGGACTTTTGGTCCTGTATTGTATGTGATGGCATCAAAGTGCAACCACCGGCTGGAGCACCTTATTGTAGAGGCTTTGTGACACTGGTCACACACAGTGTGGAGGAAGCCTTTCCAGGACAAGGGAGAAAAGTATTACACCATATTCCTCTACACTACATGTCAAACACAAGGCCCGTGGGCCGAATCCGGACCACCAGGCCATTTTCATGTGGCCCTTGTCACCCACATTGTCCCTGTCCCCACCTTGTCTCATCAGTAGCGAGGACAGGACTCTGGCAGATCCCGCAATTCTCCGTGCAGCTGCAGAGAGGCTTGACCTGGTGCCTCATCCCCCCCTCCTTTCAACCTCAGCAGCTGACAGCAGAGATGATGACAGAACTCCTCCTACGGATCCAGCACCTCTCTGTGCTGCCACAGCACCCCTTTGTCTCAGCACTCAGCAGACCGACAGTTGACTTAAGCCCTCCTCTGGTCCTCCTCCAGACTCTTCACTTTCTGCTTCCCAGCTCTGCCCCCAGCTTCTACCTGGCAGCAGCATAAGGTAAGGAAGGGTGCATCATGATATCTAGGGCGGGTGGGGGACCCTTTACTTCTTATGGTGGGAGGGCTCTTGACATTTGATGTAAGGGGGTTGGGGTGCTCTGGACATCTACTCTTACAGATACAACTGGCCCTTTCAATGCAACCATAATGCTGATACGGTCTTGCAATGATATCGAGTTCGGCAACCCTGCTCTATATCTAGGCTTAAGGGCATATTCTACCTTTCTGACATCATTTCATGATACAACTGTAGTTAAGGTTTAAAATGAGACTATGGCATCTCACGGAGCCCCAACTTCAAACCCCTCCCCCGCCAAATCTGAGTGCAGAGTGCTTTTCACCACACATTTCTGTTCATCTTTGAATTTGGCACAGCTTTGTGTCTCTGCACCCGCAAAGCCATGTCAGCCATTCACACAGATTTGTGAATTGAAGACTACAGCGGCAGAGGGTCTCATGAATCACATTGGAGCATGAGAGCGTGATCTGTTGAAAAACAACAGCTTTACTAGCCGGATCATCAGGTGAGAATAAAAGGAAAGAAAGCCTCAAGAAGAAAACTAATGCAGCCTTCACACCCAAGAATTATTAAACCCCAAAAGGAGATATTTGTTCAATTGCAGCTTTACATTGCATTAATGTCTGTAGTCTGGGCACAAGTGTGCTTAAAAGTGCATTCTGAATGAGAGTTTAAAAGCAGATCAACATTCTACTGTGTCACAACTGTCAGTCCTCCTGACCAGCTACCTTCTTTTTTATATCTATCTTCATCTGTGGCGCAGTAACCAGAGTACTGTGTTACAAATGGCAGTAAACACTAAGAGAGACCGTTAAAAAAAAAAAAAAAAAAAAAAAAAGGTAAATAATCCTAATCTCCTGGTGTAACTCCTGGAAAGTGTTTAAAAAAAAAAAAAAAAAAAAAAAAAAAAAACAATTCAGTAGCCATTCAGTCCAATACAGAGCAATATTAAGGACCAGTGGGTCAGAGCTTGTATTTTCTTTTCACATTGGCTACCTTGGTCATGAGATTTGTCCAGCCAAGGTATACATCACAGTAAATATAGGCAAGGATAGAGGTTTTTAGTAGCCTATAAGAATGTTTAGTAAGGCAAGAAAGAAAGTACAGAAACCATTAACAAATGGGTGCCATCTTTCCTGGATTTGACTAAAAAAAAAAACCTGATTGATATAGGTTAGGGCAGTGTTTCTCAACCTTTTTCCAGTCGGGGCATCCTTAAAAAGTATTTTCAGTCACGAGGCACCCTGTCCAAGGATTGGTTCACGTTACTGTGTGTCACGGAATGTACGCAAAATCGCGCTCATTCCTGACATACAGACAAATGCTCTGCTCTTTTGGGGTACCCCCATACACTGGCAAACATGGAGTGTTTCTGGTGTGGTGCAATTTTAAAACAAGGGTCAGGGACGAATTTCCCTGCATTTCTGTGGGTAAAGCAGCCCATTGAAATGAATGGGCTGCTCTACACAGCCACACAGATGTGAACCAAGGGCCTGTTCAACTGCAAGGTTGGAGGGCGGTAGAACCTAGCAATTGAACTGCTTTTACCACCCCCAACTGCTTCCCCTTTAGCTGCAGAAACAACAGCTGGGGGTATACACATGCTGTTTTCCGCAGCTGGAAGTAGACCTTCAGGTGAATGAGGTTGAAATAAAACCACCCCGCAACTGTGTGGGTATTGCACGCAGTTGTGGAGATGTTGATTTTTTCACGGTCAAAAAGGGTGGTGAAAAGACAACAAATTGCCTCTTTACCACCTGTCAAATGCCTCTGAAAAGTGATCTGAGCGTGGATTGCTTTTCAGAGGAGAAGGAGTCCTTGCTGCTATTATGAACAAGTCCTAAAAAAGCAGTTCTGAAGGGGGGGGGGGGGGGGTCAAGATTAAAAGGAACATACACTCTCTCACACACACGTGCACATGTACACGCACACATTTACATGGACACATGTATGTTGGGCTTAACTGACAGCCATTCTCCCCACGGTACCCCTGAAGACCTCTGGCGGCACCCTGGGGTGTCGTGGCACCCTGGCTGAGAAAGGTTGGGTTAGGGAACTTGCTTAGCTTTTCCACCTAATTTATTTATACTCCTTTTCCATTAAACATTATTCATATTCTACTCCCACTCTCTAATGAACTAGGATTCCAACCACACTCCCCATCACCAAATTGAATATACATACACAAGTGAATTTCACATTACCCCAAGACACTTACTCCATGATAACATTAAAGAGGCTCTCCTAGGTATCTATCACAACTAGTACTCTGTGAAGCAGATGTCAGATGAGGGCTGAGATTTTAAACAAGGCTAAGCTCTGTAGTCGAAGTTAATGAGCTGATGGATTTTAAGCATTGAACTGTCTCCAACGTAATTAGACATTTTCTGCTACGTCCAGGTACAGGGCAGAGTGTGGCCTTCACCGGTTCTAACCGTTGGGACGTGCACAGCACCTCAGCAGCCAATCGCCCTTCTTAGTTATGTGTAAGTTTCAGCCAAAGTGAAAACCGCTTAAAATAAGGAAATAAAATTAAATATACTCCCTCAATTTTTGCCACACTGATCAACAAGCTCTGCACCCCTGAATCCTCTCTGCAAAACCTCTCAAAGGGCAACATGACCAGTCAAAAATAATATCTCCAAAATAAAAGTATCAAAGTCTGAAAAGCTTTGATAAAAATCGATGAAAAAAATATGTTGGACACCAGCAGGGAGTTTGCTGGAGTTTTACTATGACTTCTCCCTGGAGAAACTAATTTTGTTTACAATAACAATCACGCGATTTGTTTGATTAAATTACTTTGGCATAAGCAATCAATCTATCCTGCCATAAAAAAAAAATACCATAATTCTATTTTCTTGCAATCCCAATAAAAACAGATGCAACTAAATCCTATTAAAGGGATATTCCACTTTAAGTTTTAGGTGAACTTCTGATGGTGTTGCAGAGGAACACAGTGAAAACAGGAGGGAAAAAAAACACACAAAAAAACAAAACAAAAAAAGGGTCCACATATTTCAGGTGGAGAACTCCTTTTAAATCCTAACAAATCTCAATCATTTAATCCACAACAGCAAAGAGGATCATTAAAAGGCCTTTGCACAGAATGTGATCTTTTAAGTGTATAATGTAATTCTATAAATATAATTGCAGTGCTAGAAGGATAAAAAAATGTATGGGGGGTTGCGGGGGTGGTGCTATGCAATCCCTTGCAGGGTATAGCTCCTCTTTTGAATTCTCTTAATTCTACAGAGCCCGCCACAAGACCACAAATAAAGGCATGTTCAAGGCAAGCGCACACACACACAAAAAAAAAAAGCATACACCATAAAATATAAACAAAAACAAAATGCCATGGCAGCCTTTGCGCACACCACTGATACCTGTTTTGGAAAGCCTGCCTGTGCTTTTGCTGCTTCCAGAGCTATCTCCTCGTGTCAAAACCGAAATCCCACTGAAGCTGCTAGCTTTGGTGACAGCGGGCTTCAGGTTTCTGATGGAGCTGTCAGAGTCGGTACTGCTCCACGGCCGTGGCTCATTGTACTTCAGGTCATTCTCAGTACTGCTGTAGAGGCTGTTTCCTGATCTACCTGAAGCGTCTTTATTGATCCTGAAATTTACACAACTGGACTGTAAAGATATATGGAAAAAAGAGATCGCAAGGAACAAGAAAGCGCAACACACATGCAGATGACGAGGACGTTAAATGAGCCAATACCTAAATATCTGACGTCTTTGCTGGGTAATATTAGACTCTTCCTCTTGGATTCTGTTGGGGCGTTTCAACAAAACAGTTAATAGTTGGCTAGCAATGTGCAGGAGAGTCATAAATGGACAATATTCACACACAATGCCACCTACCTCTTATCGGTGAGGTAATTCTCCTGAGAACATAATGACTGATGGAAGGATTTAAAGAAAGGAAGAAGAATTACTCAAGATGTAATTGACTGCTGCGCACTAGGAAGGGTAAACAATTCATTTAGATCAATTTAAATGAATAATTTAATAGGGGCTGCAGATACAGAAAACAATTTAGAATGTATTTACAATTAGACAAACTTCAGCATATGACAGATCGAACGAAACAATTGCGCTAGGAAAAAAAAACAAAAACAAAAACAAAACCAATGCAATCTTGCAACAAAGGCCCCCATAGGTACCGAATATGAGCTGGTTCAAAGTTTTAGTGTACTATTGCCCATACAAGCCATCTATAATGTAAATGGCATCAGGCGGTGCTCCTAGGTTTTTAACAGGGCTTCCCATTAAAATGTTGAACTTTTCCAACTTAGGCTGGATTCATATGTGTGCACTGCATACTGCCAACATATGGTAACACACAGAATTGACTGCACTGTAATTTCATTCAATCAGAACGGCACCCCAATGCCCTTTGGCAGTGCACCACATAGCACTGATGTGATCTCAGAGTTGCGGTGCTAGTTAACACTCACACACAAAATTTTGACCTCTACTTCAGCCCCACAACTAATCCCTGTCCAAATCTTGTCTTAAAAGTGATGCTAAAGTATTTTTTTTAGAACAACAAACCTGTCATACGGACCTGTTCCCATGCAGTGGTTTTGCACAGAGTAGCCAAGATTCTCCTCTTCTAGGGTCCCCCGCTGGCACTTCCGGCCCCTCCCTCCCGTTGGGTGCCCTCACAGCAAGCAGCTTGGTATGGTAGCACCCAAGAAGGACAGCTCCCAAGCCGTGGGTGTGCATGTCCATTCACACACACAGCCGTGGCTCAGCCCCGGCTCTTCCTTCTCCTGATTGACTCACTGGCTGTGATTGAGAGCAGTGGGAGCCAATTACTGGATTCGGATGGGGCTCAGGGAAGTGTTAGGGGAGCTAAAAGAGCTGCTACACATAGGTTTTTTTTACTTTCATGCACAGATTGCATGAAGGTAAAAAACCTTGAGCCTTTAGAACCACTTTAAACTGTAATATCTCAATAATAAGCCCCTAACAAATGACACCAAAAAGCAACTAATTCACTTCCTTGTTTTCTCTCAACTCATTGGCCTACCTTTATTAAAGGTCTATCACTCATCAAGTCCATTATGAATGCTTCCAGACTCATCCATGAAATGTTCACAGTCTTCCACTCCTCTCTACCAATCCCTTCACGGATTTATAATCATTCAACCAATAAAAATCAAAATAATATACAAAGCCATCCTCAATTCGTCCCCAGCTACATCGACAATTTCATCTAAAATATCACCCAGACCATCCTCTATGCTCCTAAGACCCCCTGCTTTCTAACTCCCTAGTCATCTCTTCCCAGACAGATTAAAAAGATATAGATGACACTGACTGCAGCACTGAAGAGAAACCATGAAAAACATATGAATTTTAGCAGATATATTCATAACTTGATATATTTTAATATGAATTTAAAACATCTCGTCAAGTATAAACATATAGTAGACTTTTAGACAAGTTTCTGTGTCTAAACACCCAAGGATCGTGTGGACTTTGGGTGTTTAGGTTCAAAGTGGGTCTGAAGGTCTACTGCAGGTACCTTTATGGTCTGACCCTTTTTGATGTTCTATGTACAGAGTCATTTACATTTTTTTTATCATTATTCTATACTCAGTACCCCATAATGACAAACAGAATTTTAGAAATGTCTGAATTTATTAAAAATAAAACCCGGAAAAACCAAACGTAAGCAAGAAAGCTTTTGCAAACTCCAAGTAGACTTTCATGTGTTTTGCAGTGAGGAGAGACTTCCGTCTAGCCATTCTGTCATAAAGCCCAGATCGGTGGAGGGCTACAGTGATGGTTGTCCTTTAGAACTTTGTCCCATCTCCACACAGGATCTCTGTCAGATTGACCATTGGGATCTTGGTCACCTCTCTTACTAAGGACCTTCTCCCACGATTGCCCAGTTTGAATGGGTGACCAGCTCTTGAAAAAGTCCTAGTTGTGCCAAACTTCTTCCATTTGATAATTATGGAAACCACTGTGCTCTGGGGAACCTTCAGAGGTGTGTGCCTTTCCAAATCATGTCCAATCAATTTAATTAGGTGGACTCCAATGTAGGTGAAGAAACATCTTAATTATGATCAAGAGCAAGGGAGGCACCCGAGCTAAATTTCAAGTGTTGTTGCAAAGGGTCTGAATACTTTTCCAATGTGATATTTCAGTTTTTTTATTTTTAATTAACAGACATTTCTAAAATTCTGTTTTAACTTCGTCAGTATGGGGTACGGAGTGTAGATTACTGAGAAGAAAAAAAATGAATTTAAACAAACAACTGTTGTATCAGCCTGCAACATAATAAAATTGAAAAAGTAAAGGGGGTCTGAATACTTTCTAAATGCACTGTACAGTATATACTTGGCAAAATGTTTAAAGAGATGTGGATTTTTATCAGATGTATCCCCCTCAGGGCTACATATAAACGCCCCTTTATCTAAGTAATATGGTTTTTAGTGTTATATGCCAGTAGGGTAACAAGGCATTTTTTTCCCAGTCATCTTAGGAGTTTTGAATGAAAAAAAAAAAAAAACCTGTCGGGGTATTTTTTGGCATCTGTAGTTTGTTGAGGATATTTCCATTTACGGCCCTGTACACAGCGGTCATCTTGTTCTGATGAAAACTCAAAAATGTTAGATTTTTTTTTTCTGACTTCATATATTGTTTAGCCTTGTACAGCTAAAGTACCTGTTCATTTGAAGTTGACTTAAACCTTAAACAAAAGCCCCTGTCAATTTATTATCCATGTTAATTACTAAAAAAAAAAAAAAAAAAAAAAAAAAAAAATAGTATCACAGAAAATGTTCTGCCTACTTCCTGCGCAAATATTCTCTCACGGGCTCGCTGGTATTCTTCCTCCCGTTCTTCAATGGATTTGCTTCTTCTGTCCTCTTTTAATCTCATCCTCATCTGTGCAAAAAAAGGTATATTAGACAATTCAAACAACTAATCTAAGCTTTAAGCAAGTGGCAGCAAAAATATTTCAATCTAGACCTGATTATCATCTTTGTCTAAACTGGAGTTATCCCTCTTGAGAATGTAACGCTTCTGGAAATCCACGCTTTTGTCATCCTTGATATGTTCCTCGAATTTCTGATCAGGGCTGAAAGACAAAAGAACAAATAGCTGACTCTGTACTAGATTCCGCCATATGCATGGTAACATAAAACTACCAGAGGAGGTCAGCAATGACAAGTGACAGCCTTGTTATGAGTTTGGTAGTGCTGGATGGGTAGCAATTAAAGGATAAGTTCACCTTTACAAAAAAAATAAAAAAATTAAACATTTTTGGCAGATAAAATAAATATTCATTTAATATTTCTTTTATTAGGAACCAGAAAACCACTGCACCCATAATCAGCAGATCTTGGGTGTAATGCCACAGTCCTGCTAATTGTCTGCGCAACTGTCTGCCTGTACCTCTAATACGGACAGGCAGTAACTGAATTACAGGAAGGTCAATAAACTACCTACAGAGCTAAGGAGCACCCTGGTAGTCATTGAGAACAACAAGCCGACAATCACAAAAGGCTGTTGGCACTTGTAGTTTTCACAGAACACTGAATAAATGAATGACGCAACTGGGTGGGCGGAGACTGCATTTTTTTTTTTTTTCAAAAGATTGTGACAGCGAGCGGAGAAAGAAGATCCCCCATTCGCTGTCACAATGGGGGATGGGGTGGGAAGCTGGTGCATCCGTAGAGTGTTACACCCTGAATACGGGTGTAACATGTTACAAAAGGTGAACTTATTCTTGAAGGTTGAGTTGTTTGGTTATGCACCCTATTGGGGATTTATCTGTGCCCAGAGGTCATGTGTGCGGACCACGCCTAGGTCCTAGGCTGCTGAACACCTGATAAATTGTGAGGATGCTGTTCGTGTGTGGTAAGCAGTGCCTATTATATTGTAGCTGCAGTGTAAAAACATAGGTGAGGCTGTAAAAACAAAAAAGTAATACCTCATATCTATGGTTATATGGTGTAACTACAATGACATCCTTATAGGCTCTCCCTCAAGAAGTCCATATCCCCTAAAACACATTGGCTGTATCCAACTTTCATAATCTAAGCGCTTAAACAAGTCACAGATGTATGGCCATCGGTACTGGGCACTCAACACACATGCTAAATAAACAAATACCGTATTTTTCGCTCCATTAGACGCACTTTTTTCCCCCACAAAAGGGGGGAAAATGTTAGTGCGTCTTATGGAGCGAATATGGAGCGGCCGGTCTGGTATTTCCACCGCCGCATCAGAATACCGGGCCGGCCGCTCAGCTCTGCAGCGGGACCTTATGGAGATGACTGCTGACCATTGGGGAGGTGGGGAGCGGGTACCTGAATTTGACAGGTACCCGCTCTTACTTCCGCGGAGTTGTTCTTTGATCTTACCTGTTCCTCTATCCAGCGGCGCGCTGTCTTCCCGGCTTCTGTAGTGTGGGCGCTCGGCTTGACAGTCGGGAGCCAAGTGCGCATGCGCAAGAAGCGGTGCTTTTTGTGAATGGTAAGGCGGGAGCTGGGACACATGACAGATCCCAGAAGCCGCCGGACCAATCACAAAGCGCAAGTGCTTCTCGCTCATGCGCACTGGGCACCCGGCTGTCATGTCGAGCGCTGACACTACAGAAGCCGGGAAGACAGCGCGCGGCTGGATAGAGGAACAGGTAAGATCAAAGAACAACTCCGTGGAAGTAAGAGCGGGTACCTGTCAAATTCAGGTACCCGCTCCCCCCCCTCCCTAAAGGTCAGCAGTCATCTCCTGTGCTGTCCGCAGTCTCTGGTCATCCCTGTGCTGTCCGCAGTCTCTGGTCATCCCTGTGCTGTCCGCAGTCTCTGGTCATCCCTGTGCTGTCCGCAGTCTCTGGTCATCCCTGTGCTGTCCGCAGTCTCTGGTCATCCCTGTGCTGTCCGCAGTCTCTGGTCATCCCTGTGCTGTCCGCAGTCTCTGGTCATCCCTGTGCTGTCCGCAGTCTCTGGTCATCTCCTGTACTATGTCTGCAGTCCATTAGTTCAGAATTTTTTTTCCTGTTTTCTGCCTCTAAAACCTAGGTGCGTCTTATGGTCAGGTGCGTCTTATGGAGCGAAAAATACGGTAAATGACAGCCTTACTTCCTGGTTCAGCTTTATCTCTACCCTTTCCTTGTACAGTGTACGAGTTGGGAGAGAATGTCCAATCCAACGAACCAGCAGAAAAGAAAGCATAGGGGCACTGCCAACAGCAACAAGATTGCATCACAAGGTTTCAACAATACAAAGAGTAAGATTTAGGTTGGTGAATAACAGGATTCTGTAATAATTACTTAAGAAGGTGTATTGGCTTGACTTAAGGTGACAGCCTAAAGGTGTCATTAGCTGTTGATTGGGTAGTGAACCTCACCACTGCCCAGATAGAGCTGAGGCCCAAGCAGAAGCCTGCCAGGCTGTTCTAACCATTTACAAGCCTCAGTTGAACATTATACAGTATATTGTAGGTTAGAAAATAAATGCAATCCTCACTAATCTCCTACTTCTGTCTTTATAATAAAGCCCCCCTGTGATTGGCTGCCCACACTTCTATGACTCACATTCTTGTATTGCTTGTTTTATTCACAATGACAGATTTTCCACTCTGATCGACGTTATGATCAAGGCCAAAATACGCAGCGACTCTGTGCAGAAGCATCCTATGATACGAGGTCATCGGCGGGAACTTCTTGCGTTGTATTCTGAAATTGAAAACAATACTACATGCAGAAACACAAATTGTACTAATTTCCTTTTAAAATACAACATAAAGAAGCGCAGCTGTGTAGTCAACTAGAGAAAACAATCTAAAATTGCTTACTAGCAGAAATCGGAGCTTCTTATTGGATGCGGTGTGTTATACTATACTACTCTGTGGATAGTTTATCCTATACATATACTAAGAATATGAAATGTATATAAAAATGCATAAAAAACTTACTCATTGGTTGCGATGAAATCTAATATATCCTGTTCTAATTTCAGCAGCATCATTCTATCCCTTGGAAGAAAAACAGCAAAGTTCTTATTGTAGCGAGTACATTTTAGAATACATTAAAGCTAAACTGTAGACCTGAACATTTTTATTTATATATACATTTCTCAATGGCCAAAAAGGATATAAATCCACTTTATGGGCACCTGTGTCTGCAAACCTTGGGAAAAGTAGCAGTGATATAATCACTGACTGCATACAACATATGTAGACAGCAGAGCTATGGAAAGGGCCCAGCAGACTAAACCCATGACAGGCTGCCTATAAAAAAACTACAAGAGGGGGCGGAGACGAGACCAGTCACCCTGCACAAGGAGAAGGGGCAGCAGTGAGTGGTCTTTATTACAGGAAGTTCCTGCACAGGAGGTAAAAGGCTTCACACTAAATTACTGCACAGATCTGAAAGAAATACACAAAGTACACCAATATTCAAGTAAGACTAGACATGATGAATGTATTTCGACAATATTTACTGATCCTGGGTTCAGCTTTAAATACATTATTGCCAGTCAACTAATCTTTAACCTCTCGGTTAGCGGTATGATTATGTTCATATTTCTGTGCTCAAAGCGGTACATTTTTTTGCATGGAAATATGTATTTTTTTTTATTGTAGGCCTGTATTTTTTAGGAATAAGTCACTGAAATCTGTCCGAACAAGAGTCTAGTAAACATCCCGGGTAGGATAAAACTTGAAACACGAAATCATAAAATTATAATTTAATAATCATAAAAAAATATAATACATTTTATTCAATAATATAATCAAACCAAAAACACTGAAATGTGAAATAGAGCGCCAAGTTCGCACATCACTGAGCAAAGTCACAAAATTGTTTTCAGTGTCTGATGACTAATTTCCCCCACCAATCATTATCACTCAATTCTGCAAGTGGTTCTGATTTACTATCGCTGTATTCTAGCTGGTCTAAAACCGCTTTTGACCTAAAGGGACGCTTTTTGGATGCAATGGACGTTTCTCTGTTTTCAGGTAGAAAGAACAGTAAAAATGCAGGCAGGGCGCCGGACAAAGCACTCGGGACAAAATGTATGTGAAATTGTTTGATACAGTAATGTTATACTATGTGATTTTAGTGAATGTCACTTTTTGTCATTTTCAAATTTGCCGCCGTTCTGTCTCCCGTACGTCCTGACGCTTGCAGTGGGCGGAACCCAGAAGGCAGACGCCGGCATCAGCCGGAGAACATTGCCGGGGACACTGCAGGAGGGACATCGCAGGAGCGCAGGACAAGGTAAGTGATCAAGGGATCCCAGAGCAGCGCTGCATGGTAAGCCCGAGTGTAGCTCGGGGTTACTGCTTGTGTTACTGAAACTTTACCCCAAGCTACACTCGGGAATACCGCCAGGGAGGTTAAAGCAGAAATACAACCAAACGTAATCCAATAAAAATGAAGAGATCATTAAAAAAAAAAATAGCTTTTGCTGTAGCGTTCTCCTTCAATCTACAGCATTACGGTGCAGTATTTTTCATTCTGATAATAAATGTCAGTCTGATGGCTAGTAAATTTAACCCACTTTGTCTGGGCCTAGGTCACTCTGTACTCCCCTCAGCCCTGCAAAAAAATATCATGTTTTTTTGGCTGGACATCTGCTTTATAGATCCAGCACTGGCTAGAGTTCCACTCTGATGAAATAAACCACAAAAACACAACTCCAAGTCTGTGTAGCAGGATCCACTTCACACTCCAATGGCAGGAGATGCTTGCCCATCTCTCCTCCGGAAAGCAGCAGTAACAAAAGGAAATGGCTGCACACTCCGCTAAGAGCAGAACTATTGGAGTGTGCAACCATTTCCTTTTGTTACATCCACTCTAAGAAATGCAGTTGACCAAACATAATATTTCTGTTACTTTGATTTTGTCCAATGGTTCCGTAAAATACAAAAGTGAAAAAAAAAAAAAAAAAAACACAGCATATTTGCGGCAGAAGCCATCCCAATGTTCCGCTTGCCTTCTCACTTGCTAATTCAATCCTAATCACCATTTAAATTAATATTAATTAGTTTGGTTAATGGCAGAGCAAGAACATCAATTATAAAAATCGTTCAGAGAGGCCGCTTCCTGCACGGATGAAATGCCTATCTGCCCCCAGCCTCCGTGTTACATCCAACGGCTGATGGAGGGGGGACTACGGGGACGCCATCTGTGTCCACTGATATATTTATATGTTAAACATGACAGTTAATGTCCGGACAAAAAAAAACAAAAGACATATGCAGTACGTCTCTGCAACACCAGCACATTTCCCAGATTGTATTCCTTTAATGACCCTACAAGTACAGAAAAATACCTGTTGATCTGCCAAAAATTCACTCATCTAAGCCCTGTTGTGGGCTGACAACACAACATTTTTTTGTGGATTGAGTGGTGTCAGCTCTGCCCACTTGTCTTTTGCTAAAATAAAACATTTTCAATAATTCTTTTCACTGTACCCAGATATGTAATAACCTGTATATGTATTGGTTAAACTTTCATAACAATGACTTGATGTCATCTTGTTTTCTTCTGCTATGTGCTTTTATGTACTGTAATCTCAAATAAAATAAAAAAACAGCATGTGAAAATGTGTATGTACTGGAGAGATGTGCAAAATGTTTTTTTTTTTTTTTTAAATTTGCCTAAACAGACTTTAAAAATGTCCAGTTTTTATACGCTTGGCTTAGTCCTCTATTTACAGTCCTAAACTGCTAATAAAGGATGGTAATGGAGGCAATTGTCTGACTGAGTATAATAGGTGGCAAACTGTAGTACCAACAGAGGATAAGAAACATGCCTTTCACGAGTGTTTTAAATAACTGGAACAGCATTATTATCTGCCTTGTTGTGCTCTCTCTATATACAGTTTTATTGTCACAAATCAGGCCAAATCCTTTTCTAATGGGTAAAAAGCATATCCATTCTAAGAAGTAAGCTTGGTAAAACAACAAAGACCTAAGAAAATCCCAAGTGGACGACCATGACCTTATTCAGTCGGGTGAAGGGATATTATCCACGACTGATCTACAATCTCTTCTATCCAAATGAAAGGATATATGACTGGTCTCCAAACTCCTCTCTCCAGGTGAAAGGATATTGTCCATGACTTATCTACAATCTCCTCTATCTAGGTGAATAAATATATGACTTGTCCCCAATCTTCTCTATCCAAGTGAAAGAATATACTTCAATCTCTTCTATCTGAATGAGAGGATATATGACGGGTCTTCAATCTCCTCTATCCAAGTGAAAGGATATATGTATACGACTGGTCTTCAATCGCCTCTATTCAGGTGAAAGGACATTGTGCATCACTGGTCTCCAAACTCCTCTATCCAAGTAAAGGGATGGTCTCCAATATCTTCTATCCATGTGAAAGGATATTGCCCATGACAGGTCTCCAACCTTCTCAATCCAGGTGAAACGATATTTTCCGTGACTGAGCAAGAAATCTTCTCATCCAGGTGTGTCTGGTCTTCCAAACTGATCCTATTGGACTTCTGTGATTGCACACTGCTGCAATCGTCTCACAATCACTTGTGCACAACTGCAACATTGTGCACGATCAAACACAGAGGACTACTCATAGAACATAAATGACCAACTTCAGAAGTCTACAAACTGCTGAGGGCTAAATTTTTAGTTGTCATGGCTAAAATGAACACAGAAATCTGTGTAGTTTGGGCTTGAAACCATCTCACGTTTTTTTTTTCCCCCCGCAGTGCCACTTGCTTTAGTTTTATTGTACAACAGAAAAAGGTCTAATTAAAGCAGAACTTTAATTAGCTCTACTTTAATTAGACATGCATACAGCCATCTAATATCCATTAAGAAATATTTAAAATTATTATTATTATTATTACTACTAGTTTATATAGCGCCAAAGGGTTTGCTCAGCGCTGTACAATAGGGGGGACAATACATGGCACAGTACAACAACAACAAACAACGTAAGAAGGGTAAGAGGGCCCTACTCTTACGAGCTTACAATCTAGGAGGGAGGGGGTAAAGGTACAGTAGGAAGTGGCTGAGGGGGATGAAGTGGTGGGAGGAATGAGGGAGAATGGCCGTTAGGTGAGGGTGGGGTAGGCTTCCCTGAAGAGATGGGTTTTGAGGGAGCGCCTGAATGTGAATAGGGAAGGCGACAGTCTGATGGATTGGGGCAGTGAGTTCCAGAGGATTTAGGATTTTCTAAAGTAACTAATATGATTACCCCATTAGTATCTTTACGTTATCTTCCCATAATACCCTAAAAAGCAAAAAGACAGACTCAGTGGCTTATCAGGCTTTGCTGACTTACAAAATAGTGACAGTCCAATATGTTGGTACTGGCAACGGGAGAGGGGGAGCTTATAGAGTGGGAAAGCTGAAGAAAAGAATCATTGACATGACAAAAAGCATTGTACAGTGGTGTCACCCTACTAAATATTCAGTATATCTGGGGTGTTGGTTTCACAAGAGTGCCTAAAAAAAGAAGTAAATAATTGTAATCTGCTAAACTAGTAGCTTAAGTCAATTAATGTAGATGTAAAGACGGTGATGGAGTGGCAAACTGTAATCAAGTTATTAAAAAATGCAAGCGGTGGGGCTTCCAATTGTTGCCATGTGCAAGCTGCGTTCCACCACATGATCGGGAACCTGGGAGCTGCTGCCAATAAGCAGCAGGGTTGGGGGGGGGGGTTGGGACATGGGCGCAAAACTGCGTCCTGGGGATGCACAGAGATCATAGCCTGTAGACAAACTGACCAAGCCGGCATGGATCTTCTACTGTGCTTGGCGTTGTTGGTTTCATACAGGAACCAAGAACAACTGACAGGATTACCAGATATTTAAAAACCCTAAAAATAAATTAAAAAAAAACTACAGACCCATGTGAAAAAAACCGACATCTATATTTAAACTTCATTTAGGGGGGGCAACAAACATGCAAACACGTTAAGCACATTTCGACTGTACATAGTTTGACTAGAGTTCCTTTTTACCAAAAACCTATATCCAGCCTATATAACCT